CCCACTTCTTACTTCAGGACCCCCACAGATCGTCAACAACGACGCACCCCACACGACGCGAAGGGTCACGTTCAGGTCGACGATGCAGGTGGCCGGTTTGCACCGCAATCGACTGCATCTATCTCCCGAGAAACATGAGTAGAGCGATGGTTTGTGGGGCATTTTTGCGAGGCAGGGAGGGGCAGAGCAGATGTTATATCCACTCCTCCTCAGGAACGTGCAGCGACGATCAGTACCAAAGGGTTCTTCTTGGTTGTGCACAACTTACTACGGACAGTTCCAACCATTGGCGTCCATTGTACTGCTGTTTCGACGGGATACATACAACATACGCCGCCGACAACAATTATACCGGGTGGACGCACAACAAATACCGCATGATGTACTGACTGAGAACCATAAAAAGGCAGACGGACAGAGCAGAAAGCACATACACCAAACGCAGCGCAACACCCCCACGTCAAATACGACGTACCCCACACCACGTTATTTTTTTCTCTCAGACTGTAACAACGGAATATTTCTCCTTCCAGTCTGTCGACGACAACTTCAGCTTAGCTTACTAACCATCGTCGTACCTCTCTATGGTTGTCAACTCTTAATTGACGGAATACTGTACATACCCAGCACGACTGACTGCCAGCAACCATGATGAGTGTAAAGGTCACACGCCCTGCTGACCTCCTCTCTTCCCACACACTTCAGATTGCAGGCATCATGTACGCAACAACAAAATATGCAATGACCCCGGACATATGCAGACATAACCGTAGGCTGCGAAATATACCACATGTTGGTATATCCGTACTTGGGAGGAGAAGACACGCTTTAACTCTCTCTGATTAGGCACCCGCGGGAGCGAGGAAAGGAAGGGAAGAAGTGGCCCTCCCGAATTCGGGGAAGGGGGCCCACACATAGTAGCCTTTTTCAGGCATATGCGTGCTCCTTTCTACGTACCCCCCCGTGCTGCTAGCAGATCTACCATGCTCGTATCCAGACACACGAACACCCTCCCCGGTTCGTCAAGCTATTGACAAACCATCAGTGGGGCATGGATACTCCAGATCTACTTAAGTTACTCATACAACAACGGGTGCCGGATAAAAAAAAACCTCGCCTACAAACTCAAAACGTAAAAGAAACCGTCGCTATCACGAAGGATTCCAACGGCCGCACTATCAGGGCAGGACCAAGGCAGGACAGATTGGACAGGCCACGCTGATTACACACCCGAAGCAATTGGTCAAAAACCCAAGCTCCCGCCGCGGGTGACGCCCCTGCCCAACGCTTCCTGCGTGACATACCATGGTCCGAGACGCGCCCAGTGCTAGAACAAAACAAAACAAACGCCACGAAAACGAGACCAGAACCCTACATCGGCAGGTTCATCAGAGCCTTCCGGTGGTACTCCAACTTGCCCCTACCAAGGACCTTGGTCAGCATATCGGCGTGCTGCTCTTCTGTCGAGACATAATCTGCGGTGATCTTGCCCGCCTTGAAGAGCTCGCGGATGAAGTGGAACCGCACGTCGATATGCTTGCTCCTCGCCGAGCTGAAAGGGTTCTGCACCAACGCGAGAGCCCCCTCGTTGTCCTCACGGACCCTGATCGTGGCACCGCTCGTCTCGGGCGCAATGAACGACAGAACACCACGCACGAACAACGCTTCCTTCACGCCCTCCCCGGCTGCAATATACTCTGCCTCCGTGGTCGACTGAGCCGTCACTGGCTGTGTCTTCGTGGATGCGCACACTACGGTCCCACCTACAGTCACGGCTAGCCCCGTCGTCGAACGCCTGTCAACGGTGCTGTCGGCGTAACTAGAATCGACGAACACGTCTAGGTCTAGCCCTGATCCGCGGACGTAGGTGA